TATATTTAGCCTATATGTTGATGAATATGAATCCCATCACCCGATCATATGAGCACTTGTAGTTCCTGTTTGTTGAAACTCCAAAAATGTTTATTGTACCTAAAAATTAACGATTATAGCAGAGAGAGAGAGAGAGAGAGAGAGAGAGAGAGGAGAGCGAGAAGAGAGAGAGAGAGAGAGAGAGAGCGTGAAGAGAGAGAGAGAGACGAGAGAGAGAGAGAGAGAGAGAGAGAGAGAGAGAGAGAGAGAGAGAGAGAGAGAGAGAGAGAGAGAGAGAGAGAGAGAGAGAGAGAGAGAGAGAGAGAGAGGGGGGGGGGGAAAAGAGAAAGAGAGATTTTCTGGCTTTTCCTAGAATTAGTAATAAAAATCAAGAGATTTTCCTAGAATTAGTAATAAAAATCAAGATATTTTCCTAGAGTTAGTAAGAAAAATCAAGAGATTTTCCTAGAATTAGTAATAAAAATCAGAGATTTTCCTAGAATTAGTAATAAAAATCAGAGACCTGAGCCACCAAGAGCTTTGGGTCACCAGGAGCCCTGAGCCACCAGGAGCCCTGAGCCACCAGGAGCCCTGAGCCACCAGGAGCCCTGAGCCACCAGGAGCCCTGAGCCACAGGAGCCCTGAGCCACCAAGAGCTTTGGGCCACCAGGAGACCTGAGCCACCAGGAGCTTTGGACCACCAGGAGCCCTCAGCCACCAGGAGCAATGGGCCACCAGGAGCCCTCAGCCACCAGGAGCCCTCAGCCACCAGGAGCCCTGAGCCACCAGGAGCCCTCAGCCACCAGGAGCCCTCAGCCACCAGGAGCCCTCAGCCACCAGGAGCCCTGAGCCACCAGGAGTCCTGGGCCACCAGGAGCCCTGAGCCACCAGGAGCCCTGAGCCACCAGGAGTCCTGGGCCACCAGGAGCCCTCAGCCACCAGGAGCCCTCAGCCACCAGGAGCCCTCAGCCACCAGGAGCCCTGAGTCACCAGGAGCCCTGGGCAACCAGGAGCCCTCAGTCACCAGGAGCCCTCAGCCACCAGGAGCCCTCAGTCACCAGGAGCCCTCAGCCACCAGGAGCCCTGGGCACCAGGAGCCCTCAGCCACCAGGAGCCCTGGGCAACCAGGAGCCCTCAGCCACCAGGAGCCCTCAGCCACCAGGAGCCCTCAGCCACCAGGAGCCCTCAGCCACCAGGAGCCCTCAGCCACCAGGAGCCCTCAGCCACCAGGAGCCCTCAGTCACCAGGAGCCCTCAGTCACCAGGAGCCCTCAGTCACCAGGAGCCCTCAGCCACCAGGAGCCCTCAGTCACCAGGAGCCCTCAGCCACCAGGAGCCCTCAGCCACCAGGAGCCCTCAGCCACCAGGAGCCCTCAGTCACCAGGAGCCCTCAGCCACCAGGAGCCCTGAGCCACCAGGAGCCCTGAGCCACCAGGAGCCCTCAGCCACCAGGAGCCCTCAGTCACCAGGAGCCCTGAGCCACCAGGAGCCCTCAGCCACCAGGAGCCCTCAGCCACCAGGAGCCCTCAGTCACCAGGAGCCCTCAGCCACCAGGAGCCCTCAGCCACCAGGAGCCCCCAGCCACCAGGAGCCCTGAGCCACCAGGAGCCCTCAGTCACCAGGAGCCCTCAGCCACCAGGAGCCCTCAGCCACCAGGAGCCCTCAGCCACCAGGAGCCCTCAGCCACCAGGAGCCCTCAGCCACCAGGAGCCCTCAGCCACCAGGAGCCCTCAGTCACCAGGAGCCCTCAGCCACCAGGAGCCCTGAGTCACCAGGAGCCCTCAGTCACCAGGAGCCCTCAGTCACCAGGAGCCCTCAGCCACCAGGAGCCCTCAGCCACCAGGAGCCCTCAGCCACCAGGAGCCCTGAGCCACCAGGAGCCCTCAGCCACCAGGAGCCCTCAGCCACCAGGAGCCCTGAGCCACCAGGAGCCCTCAGCCACCAGGAGCCCTCAGCCACCAGGAGCCCTGAACCACCAGGAGCCCTCAGCCACCAGGAGCCCTCAGCCACCAGGAGCCCTGAACCACCAGGAGCCCTCAGCCACCAGGAACCCTCAGCCACCAGGAGCCCTGAGCCACATCGTGGTTCAGTAGGTTAACGCGTGCGTCTGAGGTCAACTGGAATGCGGGTTCGATTCAATTGTTCCAAAAATCTTTTCTATCACACACACATTTTGTTTTCACTGTGTAGTGAGTAATATTTGATTCACCTTTACCCAGTGTATATGAGTGGAGACCCAGCCCTCGTCCTAGAGCTGGAGGCCGGGAGCTGGAGCTTGATAAAGAGTGCAGGCGGAGAGGGCCACGATCGGGCAGTAAATGTCAAGAATTAGGAGTCAACGCGTCCACTGAAAGTTGTAAATAATGAAAGATTTAAACAGTGGAAATGTTAGACTTGGTGGGGGTTGAATTACACACCTGACTACCAGGTTTGTCACACCTGGCTCACTACCAGGCTTGTCACACCTGACACACTACCAGCTTTGTCACACCTGGCTCATTACCAGGCTTGTCACACCTGGCTCATTACCAGGCTTGTCACACCTGGCTCACTACCAGGCTTGTCACACCTGGATCACTACCAGGCTTCACACACCTGACACACTACCAGGCTTCACACACCTGACACACTACCAGGCTTCACACACCTGACACACTACCAGGCTTCACACACCTGACACACTACCAGGCTTGTCACACCTGGCTCACTACCAGGCTTCACACACCTAACACACTACCAGGCTTCACACACCTGACACACTACCAGGCTTCACACACCTGACACACTACCAGGCTTCACACACCTGACACTAACAAACACCACACACACTGAATAACCATTAAACTCAAGACCTTATCTCCCTCAGATAAGCTTCGTCTGGGCAGAAAAGGCCAGAAGTCTCCTCCCACACACCTGAAGGAGTCTCCACCCACACACGTGAAGGAATCTCCCTCCCACACCTGAAGTAATCCCACATCACTCCAACCCTAATCCTTGCTCTCTAGGATGCACAAATCCCCTTTTTTGGGGTATATTTTATATCTTAGACACCTGACTTGATCCTCAGATTACTTGGGGAGCTGAAAATGTGTATGTGGATAGTCGTTATAATTAATTAATCGACCATACCTGTTTTGCAGGCTAATTAATGTGGGTTTGGGGACGAAACTTGGTGTTGTGGATTGATGGCACTGCTAGATAAGTGCATTGGGGAGGTTAGTGCAATTCAATCACTTCAAAAAAAAGGATTCATATTATTTTTGTGAGACTAAATGGTTCAAACATACTTGTACGTAAGATCTATCAACCTCTGAAGGGTTATTAAGACCACCACAACACCTTACTGACCAACCAGCAAGTTTGGTGTTGGACTTAAGACCTATCAACCTCTGGAGGGTTATTAAGACCACCACAACACCTTACTGACCAACCAGCAAGTTTGGAGTTGGACTTAAGACCTATCAACCTCTGGAGGGTTAATAAGGCCACCACAACACCTTACTGACCAACCAGCAAGTTTGGTGTTGGACTTAAGACCTATCAACCTCTGGAGGGTTATTAAGGTCACCACAACACCTTACTGACCAACCAGCAAGTATAATTTAATCCTGAACATAGTCCAGGACTAAAGTATACTCTCAGTGTATATATATACACTGAGAAGCAGGGTATACACCTCTATGTGTATAGTATACATATGGGTCTAAATGGGAATTTATGGCATCTCATCGTATGACAACACATGCCTTCTCTGCCGCAGATGGAAGGCACCATGTCAAGTGGTAATCATTTCATTGAAACCAACTCCGACCCCGCACATGTTGGGCACATACCCGGCAGTAATTAATGTTAAACATTTGGTGAAGTTAGTCTCAAGTTTCTGAACCTTCAACCTCTTGATAGTCATTCTACTTTACAGATATACTTACTGGACATCAACACGCCTCTAAATCCTTATTTTAAAACTGAACAGGATTAGCCCAGGGGATTACTGTTTGAGGCATCGCAAACGTTCTCCATCAACCACTGAGATGCTTGACCACTGAGGACTCCTCGCTACTCTTATCTCAGGACAAGACGGTCCTAAATCCATAGGTGTAAATCTTATAGTGTATAATGTAGCTTCGCTTAACGATATATTTCGTGTGGCACTTTATCGAAAGCTTATTATATATATATATTGCTCTACTGAATGGGACAGTCTAGCTAGCAAGAGTCTAGCTAGCAAGAGTCTAGCTAGCAAGAGTCTAGCTAGCAAGAGTCTAGCTAGCAAGAGTCTAGCTAGCAAGAGTCTAGCTAGCAAGAGTCTAGCTAGCAAGAGTGTAGCTAGCAAGAGTCTGGCTAGCAAGAGTCTAGCTAGCAAGAGTGTAGCTAGCAAGAGTCAAGCTAGCAAGAGTCTGGCTAGCAAGAGTCTAGCTAGCAAGAGTGTAGCTAGCAAGAGTCTAGCTAGCAAGAGTCTGGCTAGCAAGAGTCTAGCTAGCAAGAGTCTAGCTAGCAAGAGTCAAGCTAGCAAGAGTCAAGCTAGCAAGAGTCTGGCTAGCAAGAGTTTAGCTAGCAAGAGTCTGGCTAGCAAGAGTCTGGCTAGCAAGAGTCAAGCTAGCAAGAGTCTAGCCAGCAAGAGTGTAGCTAGCAAGAGTGTAGCTAGCAAGAGTCAAGCTAGCAAGAGTCTGGCTAGCAAGAGTCTGGCTAGCAAGAGTCTAGCTAGCAAGAGTCTGGCTAGCAAGAGTCTAGCTAGCAAGAGTCTAGCTAGCAAGAGTCTGGCTAGCAAGAGGCTGGCTAGCAAGAGTCTGGCTAGCAAGAGTCTAGCTAGCAAGAGTCTGGCTAGCAAGAGTCTAGCTAGCAAGAGTCTAGCTAGCAAGAGTCTAGCTAGCAAGAGTGTAGCTAGCAAGAGTCAAGCTAGCAAGAGTCTGGCTAGCAAGAGTCTGGCTAGCAAGAGTCTAGCTAGCAAGAGTCTAGCTAGCAAGAGTCTGGCTAGCAAGAGTCTAGCTAAGAGTCTAGCTAGCAAGAGTCTGGCTAGCAGGAGTCCAGCTAGCAAGAGTCTGGCTAGCAAGAGTCTAGCTAGCAAGAGTCTAGCTAGCAAGAGTCTAGCTAGCAAGAGTCTAGCTAGCAAGAGTCTGGCTAGCAAGAGTCTAGCTAGTAAGAGTCAAGCTAGCAAGAGTCTAGCTAGCAAGAGTCTAGCTAGCAAGAGTCAAGCAAGCAAGAGTCTAGCTAGCAAGAGTCAAGCTAGCAAGAGTCTAGCTAGCAAGAGTCTGGCTAGCAAGAGTCTAGCTAGCAAGAGTCAGTAGCTGGCTAGCAAGAGTCTGGCTAGCAAGAGTCAAGCTAGCAAGAGTCAAGCTAGCAAGAGTCTAGCTAGCAAGAGTCTAGCTAGCAAGAGTCTAGCTAGCAAGAGTCTGGCTAGCAAGAGTCTAGCTAGCAAGAGTCTAGCTAGCAAGAGTCTGGCTAGCAAGAGTCAAGCTAGCAAGAGTCTAGCTAGCAAGAGTCTGGCTAGCAAGAGTCTGGCTAGCAAGAGTCAAGCTAGCAAGAGTAGCTAGCAAGAGTCTAGCTAGCAAGAGTCAAGCTAGCAAGAGTCTAGCTAGCAAGAGTCTGGCTAGCAAGAGTCTAGCTAGCAAGAGTCTGGCTAGCAAGAGTCTAGCTAGCAAGAGTCAAGCTAGCAAGAGTCAAGCTAGCAAGAGTCAAGCTAGCAAGAGTCTAGCTAGCAAGAGTGTAGCTAGCAAGAGTCTGGCTAGCAAGAGTCTAGCTAGCAAGAGTGTAGCTAGCAAGAGTCTGGCTAGCAAGAGTCTAGCTAGCAAGAGTCTAGCTAGCAAGAGTGTAGCTAGCAAGAGTCTGGCTAGCAAGAGTCTAGCTAGCAAGAGTCTAGCTAGCAAGAGTCTAGCTAGCAAGAGTCTGGCTAGCAAGAGTCTAGCTAGCAAGAGTCTAGCTAGCAAGAGTCTAGCTAGCAAGAGTCTGGCTAGCAAGAGTCTAGCTAGCAAGAGTCTAGCTAGCAAGAGTCTAGCTAGCAAGAGTGTAGCTAGCAAGAGTCTGGCTAGCAAGAGTCTAGCTAGCAAGAGTGTAGCTAGCAAGAGTCTAGCTAGCAAGAGTCTAGCTAGCAAGAGTCAAGCTAGCAAGAGTCTGGCTAGCAAGAGTCTGGCTAGCAAGAGTCTAGCTAGCAAGAGTCTAGCTAGCAAGAGTCTAGCTAGCAAGAGTGTAGCTAGCAAGAGTCTAGCTAGCAAGAGTCTAGCTAGCAAGAGTCTAGCTAGCAAGAGTCAAGCTAGCAAGAGTCTAGCTAGCAAGAGTCTGGCTAGCAAGAGTCTAGCTAGCAAGAGTCTAGCTAGCAAGAGTCTGGCTAGCAAGAGTCTAGCTAGCAAGAGTCTAGCTAGCAAGAGTCTGGCTAGCAAGAGTCTAGCTAGCAAGAGAGCTAGCAAGAGTCTAGCTAGCAAGAGTCTAGCTAGCAAGAGAGCTAGCAAGAGTCTGGCTAGCAAGAGTCTAGCTAGCAAGAGTCTGGCTAGCAAGAGTCTAGCTAGCAAGAGTCAAGCTAGCAAGAGTCAAGCTAGCAAGAGTCAAGCTAGCAAGAGTCCAGCTAGCAAGAGTCTAGCTAGCAAGAGTCTGGCTAGCAAGAGTCTAGCTAGCAAGAGTCTGGCTAGCAAGAGTCAAGCTAGCAAGAGTCTAGCTAGCAAGAGTCTGGCTAGCAAGAGTCAAGCTAGCAAGAGTCTAGCTAGCAAGAGTCTGGCTAGAGAGAGTCCAGCTAGCAAGAGTCTAGCTAGCAAGAGTCTGGCTAGCAAGAGTCCAGCTAGCAAGAGTCTAGCTAGCAAGAGCTAGCAAGAGTCTAGCTAGCAAGAGTCTAGCTAGCAAGAGTCTGGCTAGCAAGAGTCAAGCTAGCAAGAGTCTAGCTAGCAAGAGTCTGGCTAGCAAGAGTCTAGCTAGCAAGAGTCAAGCTAGCAAGAGTCTAGCTAGCAAGAGTCTAGCTAGCAAGAGTCTAGCTAGCAAGAGTCTAGCTAGCAAGAGTCTAGCTAGCAAGAGTCAAGCTAGCAAGAGTCTAGCTAGCAAGAGTCTGGCTAGCAAGAGTCAAGCTAGCAAGAGTCTAGCTAGCAAGAGTCTGGCTAGCAAGAGTCTAGCTAGCAAGAGTAGCTAGCAAGAGTCTGGCTAGCAAGAGTCTAGCTAGCAAGAGTCAAGCTAGCAAGAGTCTAGCTAGCAAGAGTCTAGCTAGCAAGAGTCAAGCTAGCAAGAGTCTAGCTAGCAAGAGTCTGGCTAGCAAGAGTCTAGCTAGCAAGAGTCAAGAGTCAAGCTAGCAAGAGTCTAGCTAGCAAGAGTCAAGCTAGCAAGAGTCAAGCTAGCAAGAGTCAAGCTAGCAAGAGTCCAGCTAGCAAGAGTCTAGCTAGCAAGAGTCTGGCTAGCGAGAGTCTAGCTAGCAAGAGTCTAGCTAGCAAGAGTCTAGCTAGCAAGAGTCTGGCTAGCAAGAGTAGCTAGCAAGAGTCTAGCTAGCAAGAGTCTAGAGAGAGTCCAGCTAGCAAGAGTCTAGCTAGCAAGAGTCTGGCTAGCAAGAGTCCAGCTAGCAAGAGTCTAGCTAGCAAGAGTCTGGCTAGCAAGAGTCTAGCTAGCAAGAGTCTGGCTAGCAAGAGTCTGGCTAGCAAGAGTCAAGCTAGCAAGAGTCAAGCTAGCAAGAGTCTAGCTAGCAAGAGTCTAGCTAGCAAGAGTCTGGCTAGCAAGAGTCTAGCTAGCAAGAGTCTGGCTAGCAAGAGTCTAGCTAGCAAGAGTCTGGCTAGCAAGAGTCAAGCTAGCAAGAGTCAAGCTAGCAAGAGTCAAGCTAGCAAGAGTCAAGCTAGCAAGAGTCCAGCTAGCAAGAGTCAAGCTAGCAAGAGTCTAGCTAGCAAGAGTCTAGCTAGCAAGAGTCAAGCTAGCAAGAGTCTAGCTAGCAAGAGTCTGGCTAGCAAGAGTCTAGCTAGCAAGAGTCTGGCTAGCAAGAGTCTAGCTAGCAAGAGTCAAGCTAGCAAGAGTCAAGCTAGCAAGAGTCAAGCTAGCAAGAGTCAAGCTAGCAAGAGTCAAGCTAGCAAGAGTCCAGCTAGCAAGAGTCTGGCTAGCAAGAGTCTGGCTAGCAAGAGTCAAGCTAGCAAGAGTCTAGCTAGCAAGAGTCTGGCTAGCAAGAGTCCAGCTAGCAAGAGTCTAGCTAGCAAGAGTCAAGCTAGCAAGAGTCTAGATAGCAAGAGTCTGGCTAGCAAGAGTCTAGCTAGCAAGAGTCTAGCTAGCAAGAGTCTAGCTAGCAAGAGTCTAGCTAGCAAGAGTCTAGTTAGCAAGAGTCTAGCTAGCAAGAGCCTAGCTAGCAAGAGTCTGGCTAGCAAGAGTCAAGCTAGCAAGAGTCAAGCTAGCAAGAGTCTAGCTAGCAAGAGTCTAGCTAGCAAGAGTCAAGCTAGCAAGAGTCAAGCTTCAGATGAATGTTATATATAAACGAATTGTTTTCAAGAGAGAACAAATAAATCAAGGAACAATTAATGGAACAAATCAAGGAACAATTAAAAGAACAAATCAAGAAACAATTAATGGAACAAATCAAGGAACAATTAATGGAACAAATCAAGGAACAGTTAAAAGACGCAAATCAAGAACCAATTAAAGTAACAAATACTAAAATAATGGAACAATAAAAGGGAAGAAAGTCATGAACAAGGAACAAATCAAGGAACAAATACGTAGATACTAAAGTGTGGATAAAGATGAGAAAACGAGCCCAAACACCTTCGTTTATAGTGCCTGACCTTTGACCTTAAATAATAATGTATTCTCAGCATTAATTCACTGTTTTCCTTTGCTGTCTGGGATAAGGGTGAGGGGGGGGGGGTGCGGCACCTCCTTCCCCCTGATGAGCCTGTTCACCCCCCCAGGGGGTAGACAATATCAACCTCCTCGTCCCAAAGGTAATCAACAAAGGTATACAATATACCAATTTAAGCTAAAACACAAACAAACACAAAAGTATTTGTTTGCCATGTGATACACTGCAACTCTTAGAGGCAACAAACACAAACAAACACATATAATTTCAACAATAGTATACAAATTAGTCAATAAAATGTATATATATTACAAGGAAATATTACTTCCTATAATCTCTTATATGAGATTATATAATATTCGGCGCCCAGATTCATAAAAATATTAGAGTCTAAAATTGTTGAAAATTGGCTGGATTTTGGTAAAATGCCGAATTGGTTCGTTTAAATGATGATTACCATAAACAATGGTCTCTTATCCGGATATATATGTATATGTATGCCTTGTTCGGTTAATGTATTCACATTGTATGCGGGTGTGGGCGATGGGGTGTATAGTGACCTCTGGCTGGTGTGTGTGTGTGTCACATGTGTGATCTCTGACTGGTGTGTGTGTGTCACATGTGTGATCTCTGGCTGGTGTGTGTGTCACATGTGTGATCTCTGGCTGGTGTGTGTGTCACATGTGTGATCTCTGACTGGTGTGTGTGTTAGTCACATGTGTGATCTCTGACTGGTGTGTGTGTGTCACATGTGTGATCTCTGACTGGTGTGTGTGTGTCACATGTGTGATCTCTGACTGGTGTGTGTGTGTCACATGTGTGATCTCTGACTGGTGTGTGTGTGTCACATGTGTGGCCTCTGACTGGTGTGTTAGTCACATGTGTGACCTCTGGTGTGTGTTAGTCACATGTGTGGCCTCTGACTGGTGTGTTAGTCACATGTGTGACCTCTGGCTGGTGTGTTAGTCACATGCGTGACCTCTGACTGGTGTGTTAGTCACATGTGTGACCTCTGACTGGTGTGTTAGTCACATGTGTGACCTCTGACTGGTGTGTGTTAGTCACATGTGTGACCTCTGACTGGTGTGTGTGTGTGTCACATGTGTGATCTCTGACTGGTGTGTGTTAGTCACATGTGTGACCTCTGACTGGTGTGTGTGTGTGTGTCACATGTGTGGCCTCTGACTGATGTGTTAGTCACATGTGTGACCTCTGAACTGGTGTGTGTTAGTCACATGTGTGACCTCTGACTGGTGTGTTAGTCACATGTGTGACCTCTGACTGGTGTGTTAGTCACATGTGTGACCTCTGACTGGTGTGTTAGTCACATGTGTGACCTCTGACTGGTGTGTGTTAGTCACATGTGTGACCTCTGACTGGTGTGTGTGTGTCACATGTGTGGCCTCTGACTGGTGTGTTAGTCACATGTGTGACCTCTGAACTGGTGTGTGTTAGTCACATGTGAGACCTCTGACTGGTGTGTTAGTCACATGTGTGACCTCTGAACTGGTGTGTGTTAGTCACATGTGTGACCTCTGACTGGTGTGTTAGTCACATGTGTGACCTCTGAACTGGTGTGTGTTAGTCACATGTGTGACCTCTGACTGGTGTGTTAGTCACATGTGTGACCTCTGAACTGGTGTGTGTTAGTCACATGTGTGATCTCTGAGTGATGTGTGTTAGTCACATGTGTGACCTCTGAGTAGTGTGTGTTAGTCACATGTGTGACTTCTGACTGGTGTATGTTAGTCACATGTGTGTCCTCTGACTGGTGTGTGTTAGAGCCACATATGTGACCTCAGATGTGTGTCGTATATGCTACGGATTCGACCAAAACGTTAAAAATACGACGCGTTGGTATAATTTGAAGCACCATAGGTACGTTTTCTATGCATTGGCCCCCGATAGGTTAGGGGGGTTGGTTGGGTTACAAAGTTTCTATAGTCACTTTAGTCAATCTTTCTTTTCAAAAGCTTAAGATTAGGAATTAGGAATTCCTGCTCACAGGGGGTTCTAGAAGCCTGCTCTTGAATGCTTACTAATGATTGTTTTGGAGCCTACAATCGTGTCCTGCTGGATGGGGGATTGTGTTCTGATCAATCACACTATCCTAGCCGGCACCTACACCCTGTCCTCTAATCCTCTCGCTCTCCCTCCCACAAACTCTCTCAACAATCAGTACAATCTCCCCTACCTTCTCTCACCAATCAGTAAAATCCCCCTACCTTCTTTCACCAATCAGTACAATCACCCCTACCTTCTGTCACCAACCAGTACAATCCCCCTACCTTCTCTCACCAATCAGTACAATCACCCCTACATTCTCTCACCAATCAGTACAATCCCCTACCTTCTCTCACCAATCAGTACAATCTCCCCTACCTTCTCTCACCAATCAGTACAATCCCCCTACCTTCTCTCACCAATCAGTACAATCACCCCTACCTTCTCTCACCAATCAGTACAATCCCCCTACCTTGTCTCACCAATCAGTACAATCCCCCTACCTTCTCTCACCAATCAGTACAATCCCCCTACCTTCTCTCACCAATCAGTACAATCACCCCTACCTTCTCTCACCAATCAGTACAATCCCCCTACCTTGTCTCACCAATCAGTACAATCCCCCTACCTTCTCTCACCAATCAGTACAATGCCCCTACCTTCTCTCACCAATCAGTACAATCACCCCTACCTTCTCTCACCAATCAGTACAATCCCCCTACCTTGTCTCACCAATCAGTACAATCTCCCCTACCTTCTCTCACCAATCAGTACAATCTCCCCTACCTTCTGCTACCTGATTGTTCCATAACAATTATGAAAGTGGATGCAAATTGGTGCCTCCTTTCCTGTTGTTTAAGATTCGCTACATGGGACAAAAAGTTCCAAGTAGCACGGGCTATGGCGAGCCCGAAGTGAAACACTCTTCCCATTTGTATATATCTGTAAGTTAGTTAATTGGCAATGAGCATTTCTAGGTGAAGTAGTTAACCTAGGCTGAGTAATTCTTATTCATCTTCTCGTATTCATCTGCTCCTACTCATCTTCTTGTATTCATCTGTTCTTATTCCCTATGACTTTTTTAGTGGTGGACTCTCGGTAATAACAGTCCACCTTGGACAGAAAGTACTGACCTTACCTGCAGGATGCTGCCCACAACAGTTGCCTAACTCCCGGGGTACCGCTAGGTGAATAGCGGCATCAGGTGAAAAGGAAAGGCACCCCCAACAGTTTCTGCCCTACTCGGGAACTAGATCATCGATTGTGAGTCAAGTACGCAGCCTACTGTGCCACAGGAGAGAGCACTCTTACTGAGTCTGACTCATCAGGGACAATGAGTCTGACTCATCAGCAACACTGAGTCAGACTCATCAGGAACAATGAGTCTGACTCATCAGGAACAATGAGTCTGACTCATCAGCAACACTGAGGCTGACTCATCAGCAACACTGAGTCAGACTCATCAGCAACACTGAGTCTGACTCATCAGGAACACTGAGTCTGACTCATCAGCAACACTGAGTCTGACTCATCAGGAACACTGAGTCTGACTCATCAGCAACACTGAGTCTGACTCATCAGCGACACTGAGTCTGACTCATCAGGAACACTGAGTCTGACTCATCAGCAACACTGAGTCTGACTCATCAGGGACAATGAATCTGACTCATCAGCAACACTGAGTCTGACTCATCAGCAACAATGAGTCTGACTCATCAGCAACACTGAGTCTGACTCATCAGCAACAATGAGTCTGACTCATCAGCAACACTGAGTCTGACTCATCAGCAACACTGAGTCTGACTCATCAGCAACACTGAGTCTGACTCATCAGCAACACTGAGTCTGACTCATCAGCAACACTGAGTCTGACTCATCAGCAACAATGAGTCTGACTCATCAGCAACAATGAGTCTGACTCATCAGCAACAATGAGTCTGACTCATCAGCAACAATGAGTCTGACTCATCAGCAACACTGAGTCTGACTCATCAGCAACAATGAGTCTGACTCATCAGCAACAATGAGTCTGACTCATCAGCAACACTGAGTCTGACTCATCAGCAACACTGAGTCTGACTCATCAGCAACAATGAGTCTGACTCATCAGCAACACTGAGTCTGACTCATCAGTAACAATGAGTCTGACTCATCAGCAACAATGAGTCTGACTCATCAGCAACAATGAGTCTGACTCATCAGCAACAATGAGTCTGACTCATCAGCAACAATGAGTCTGACTCATCAGCAACAATGAGTCTGACTCATCAGCAACAATGAGTCTGACTCATCAGCAACACTGAGTCTGACTCATCAGCAACAATGAGTCTGACTCATCAGCAACAATGAGTCTGACTCATCAGCAACACTGAGTCTGACTCATCAGCAACAATGAGTCTGACTCATCAGCAACAATGAGTCTGACTCATCAGCAACACTGAGTCTGACTCATCAGCAACAATGAGTCTGACTCATCAGCAACAATGAGTCTGACTCATCAGCAACAATGAGTCTGACTCATCAGCAACACTGAGTCTGACTCATCAGCAACAATGAGTCTGACTCATCAGCAACAATGAGTCTGACTCATCAGCAACACTGAGTCTGACTCATCAGCAACAATGAGTCTGACTCATCAGCAACAATGAGTCTGACTCATCAGCAACAATGA